TCTCAATGGATCCTGGCAGCAGAGAGGCACCTAAGAAGACAGACTCTTCTTCTACAGCTTTTATTTACAGCTCTGCCTACAGCAGGGCAAATAAAAATTACAGGCTACCACTAAAGCACAGACAACCTACAGCAGACTGTTCGTCTATTTGTTAAATTTGATTTCCCAGTACATAGCACATAAAACTGATTCTTTATAATCGGGAATGTTTATTGTAAACTCATCATGCTTCCAAAAGCTGTAGTCATACTTTAATACAATAAAAATAAAACGTAAATTTGCACTTTGAATAGTATACTTGTTAGTGAAAAATCAGTCTAACTGCAGACAAGCACACAGCTCTGAACTCCCAGGGCAGGTCTGCTTTCTGACCACACACGGTACATTAATTTGCTCAACAAAAAATTCCCCATTGGCCATAGAGCTGTTCATGTCTGTGCTGAACAGACTTTTATATCCTTTTATCCATGCTTAAGAAGTCAACTAAAATTTGAATGTGATGAATTAGTTACCTTCTGTCAATTTAACAGTGCAGTCCATACCACTGCTGCAAAACTAAAAATCTACCACACTAACCATCTTCTCAGAATCACACAGAATCTTCAAGGTTGGAAGGGACCTCTAGAGATCATCTAGTCCAACCTTCCCGCTCAAGCAGGCACATCCAGAGCATGTGGCACAGGGCAGCATCCAGGCAGGTTTTGAAGACCTCCAGAGAAGGAGACTCCACAACCTCCCTGAGCAGCCTGTTCCAGTGCTCTGTCACCCTCACAGTAAAGAAGTTCCTCCTCACCTGGAGGTGGAACCTCCTGTGTTTCGGCTTGCACCCATTACTCCTTGTCCTATCACTGGCCACCACTGAGAAAAGCTTGGCCCCTTCCTCCGTACAATCCTTCTCCTTGCTGAAGACAATGCTCTGTTGAAGCCATTGGAGGTTCTGCCACCTAGCTCACTGGGACTGAGATTTCTTTCTCTCGTCAATATATCTCTCAATAAATTCGGTCTTCAACACCAGACTGAATTTCCATGCTCAGGTCAAGTTCATAATACAAATCAATGCAAGTTCTCCCAGAACAAGCTACAAGATCAGCCCTTACAAGGGCAATCACTCTCTTGAAATTAACCTAAAACTTTCTTCCTGGACTTTCTTCTTCACTCTTGATACCTTCCCTGAAAGGAAGGGTACTGAATTAGGTCTTGATAGAGAGAACCCATCTTCCTTCTTTCCTCTTCGGTAAACACTCCTGTATTCAAACTAACATCCAAAATAATTCTAGATGCTTTTAAAGCAACTATAAAGAAAGAAATTCCAGGAATAGAAGACTCAGGTTGTCAGTTGCTATTAATCAATCTTGTTAATTCTTATTTTGTCTGCAAACTCAGCAACTCTCAATTAAAACAGAAATAATAAACACACAACAAATGAGGTTTTCATAATGAAAATGGGCTAATCAAGATACACACATTCATTTAACTGTGCAATCTTTCTGAAAATACACCATACGGGATGCACTGTGCATGCACTTATCTCGATACAACAAGGGCTCTGATCATGTTGTTTATTCCAGCTTTCACACTAGAACAGTTGTACTTTAGAGAGCATGTTATTACACTGCATGTATTTTGCTGCTTTGCCTCTACTGTAAGAAAGCAAAATATCCTTGTTCTTGCAGCCCAGCCTCCAAATCTATGCTAGAGAGGTTAGGTGAGCACAGGACACCTTCCAAGCAGGGATGCAGTTTATTCCAGCAGCAGGGCTGGCATTAATGATGGCAACTATCAGAACAGGATGAGCTATACTATCTCATGCCTGCACTGTATTTATGTTAGAGACTTTCCTCTCATGGTCTCTTTGCTACATCTGCATTACCCACCACTGAAGTTATCACAAGCCTCAAGTGGTATGAAAAGACACGATCACTGACCATTACAGTCATATATAAAATACAACCACAGTTATATGGAGACAATTTTGTATTTTTTTCTGGAACTGAGGTGTAATATATCAGCAAAATTCTGCAAACACATCTAGAGTAAAATGTCCCAACAGCATACCAGCACATCCACACCAACAGAGCTCTTCAACTGTAGACTAAGGACTACAGTTTCAAAGTTTTATGGATATAAGAAGCACCCTTAGAATAAATGCAGCTTTTACCAGACTAGCAAGTTGCTTTTTTTTTTTTTTTTTTTTTTTTGCTCACTTTTTTCCCCTCTCAAGATAACTGCAATGACAACATGATATAAATATTAAGATACAGCAAAACTTTGTCAAGCGTGTGGTAACCGTAGTCTAAGGCCATGTATACACTGAAAGTCCTATCAAATCAACAGTGCAAGTACAATACACTATAGCCAAGTGCCCAGAGCACCGACCCAACACCTAAAGCCCATCAACATCGTGAGCTTCTGCATTCTGAATCAATAAATATAAACTAAGGGAAAACCAGAGTACTACTGTCACCAATACAGGAAGGAAAAAGTTTAAAGCCCGTATCTGGCCAAAAGGGCACATCTAAAAAGTATGAACCCAGTATATTTTAATTATGTCCCCCAAACATCTGGACTCAAATAAAAATGCATTTTGCTTTGATGTGTGCAGGTCAGGGCAAAGAGTATGTATCACCAGTGATTTTTATTACACTCTTTGTCACTTTATCAATGGAGAAAGGAAAAAAAAAAAGAACAGAAGGAATTTGTCAGTCACTACCAAATTTATTATAAATATTTATTAGGAAAAAATGACTATAAATATACACAAACATTAAAAACGTACACACTCTCATGCCTTGTAACCTAAGGCCACTGTATCAATAATACAAAGTAGTAGCTTCAAGGATGGGCAAATTTCATGCATTAGAAAGTTTCCTGAAATATGTCAGTATCATAGTAAACACTTATTAGACTTAAAATAATTCGTAAGAGTTTCAGTCACGTGCATCAGTTGCTTAAAAGAAAATAAAACATTAACAATGTTGCCCTCCAGAAAGATTTTAGAAAAGTTTATGTCCAGGGCTTATTTTTTAAGAATATATCAAATCAACAACAGCATTTATTTCATACCTGTTCAACATTAACAGGCAAAAAACTTAAAATGCTTTAAAAATAAATCCCAAATCATGAAACTTGCCACTGCCTACAGGAATGAGCAAGAGGCAGTAGGAAGCCCTCTGATAACGTGTCAAAAAGCATAAAATGAGAATTAAACGAGCAGTCCACACTCCCTAAGGGGTGAGTATGAGCTGGTTTGGCAGAATATCTGCTGTTGTTTAGGTCAACATTGTTAGCACTAAAGTCAAGCTTCAAGAGGACAGGATTATAAGGAGATGACCCAAAAAAAATGAGGTGTCTCAATTAAAAATATATATATATTTTAATTCTGAATTCTAAAAGGAAAGAAATACACACACCAAAACAAAGACCGAGAACTTCAAGCAACTTAGGAGAAAAATTACTTCATGTGGAGTAAAAACTCATCATAGAGGGAAGAATCAGTTTAAGAATAAGATGAGATAAAAGAAAATAAAATCCTACTAGGAGAGCAAAAGCAACAGGAATAAGCTGCTCATTCACCTATAAGTTTTTCACCCTTGGATTCCACCAAGATTTTGAAGGGTACTGAATGCTCTTTAATGATGCCTTTGTTGTATGTGTTGCACTGAACACTGTCTGAAGAGATGTTTCTTCTGTTATGTCCTATTCTTCGGTCATCAGATCACTCAGTGGACAAAAATCACCTTTGAAAGCTACTTTTCCCCCTCTCCAACTGCAGGTGTGTATCATGTCAAGAACCAGGCTTTGGAGGTGTATATAAACAATGTGTAAGCCCATGTTTACAGCTTCAAAAAAGATGGGTCCTGGTCCACTCTGGAACAAGCTGAATTATAAGTAATAGCTCACAAGATCACCACCTACGGTTATTCAAGGGATATAGGAAGTCTGCAAGTGGAAAGGTTCAACATAGACTTAATGGGGATAACCCTCCTTATTCTCCCTCCTCGGACACAAAGAACTTTCTCCCCGAGAAGTACACATGAACAGAAATAAAAATTAAAATAAATAAATAAACCCCTTCTAACATCGATTTTCTGAATAAAAAGCAGATAGCTGGTAAGCTTGGGTACGAACGGGGCAAGGTTTCGGGCACACTGCGGGCCGGTGCAGCGGCACCGCCACAGCAGCGAGCACCGTAAAATGGCGCCCGTGGGGTGGGGGGAGGAGAGCCACGGCGAAAGTGCGCAACAAACGCTGGCAGGAAGCCAGGCGGCGCCATCTTCCCTGCCGCTCCCGCGCCCGCTGCCACCGGCGGCCGGCGCTCGCAGCCGAGCCCGCAGCTGCTCCCAGACCCGCTGCCCCTCGCCTTGGCAGTCCTCGGGGTTTTGTTTTTTAATTCTACCGTTAATACGCCCCGAAAAGACCGGGAGAGTCGGGGCGGCGGGAGCGGAGGATCAGGGAAAACAAAGGCCTCAAGATCGCATTCTTTCCGTCCCCCAGTGGTAACAGCTTTAAATAAATACAGATGTGTCCTCTATAAGGACACTTTCTTTCTTCCTTAGTTTTTTTTTTCACCATAGCTAGATCTGCTTTACTTCTACAATTAACTTACGGATTGTGGATATTTTTACAACTAATGTCAAAAGCAAATGAAAACGAGATAAGCAACCCCCATAACCAATAAAGTTAACTAAGTACTTAAGCAAAACACTATTATTATTTTTTTAGCCACAAGTAAAAACGATATTTAAAACAGTGAATATGGAATATAATCCGATAGCACAAAGAAGCCAACGCACACCCACTCCGAAGGAAAACCAAACAGGTTACTCCAGAAAGAGACGGTTTATTGCTAAGCTTTAAATAGAGGCATTACAGTCAAATATTCTCTCTCCAAAAGGAAATAATAATAATTAAAAAAAAAAAAAAAAAAAAAAGATTCTGAAGAGGAGGAAAAGAGGAAAAAAAAAAAAAAAAAACACGAAAACGCATTAGCCCAAACCTACCGACGGAAAATTTCACGTACACGCACAAAAAGAGCACCGTTTCCATCTCTAGATTATAAGCGTTGAAACACGGAGCAATTCAGAGGAAATCGCAAATAAAGAAGCAAACAAATCAAATCTAGTGGCGACACGGAAAACGAGAAAACGAGTGAAAAATAAATCCCCGGCAGGCACAAATCTGAGACAGAAGCTCAAAGAAACGACAAGATTAGGGTGGTGGCGAGCGAAGGGGGGAAAGGAAAAAATTAAGCCAGGAATGAAAAAGAAGAAAAACAAAAAAAGAAAGAAAGAAAAGAAAAATCCTTCCCAGCTCCACAGGCAGGAGAGACGAAGTGTCTCCATTTTCTGAGGAGGAGGAAGAAAGAGTGTTTCACAGACCACAGAGCTTTAGAGAAAAGCAAAGAAACGAGGGGGAAAAAAAAAGAGGGAGGAGATTTGAAAAGATTATTTTTCTTTCTCCCTCACACACTCTCTCTATCCCCCTCTCTCCGTCTCACTCTCTCTCTCACACTCACACATACACACACACACTCTCTCTCCCTCCTCTCCTCTTTCCATCCCTCTTGATGGCCATCAAGGGGGCGGAAAAAAAAAAAAAAAAAAAAAAAACACAACAACAACTAATTTTAAACCGGCTCAATCAATGAGTCATTAAAAGAGATTTTTCTTCCCTCCTCTCCCGAATTTGCATGGCATCAGCAAGAAGGAAAAAAAAAAAAAAAAAACCCTCTCCCCTCTCTGCAGCTATCAGCCTGGACCTGAAACCTTATCTCTCTCCCCCCCCCGGCCTTTATTTTAAGAAACAACTTTTTTTTTTTTTTAAGTGCCCTCAGCAGCCACCACCACTAGTCTTGCTGAAAAAAAATATATATATATAGTTCATTTCCATGTGAATCCACATCTGCCCAAACAGCCACCCACAAAATATCCCTCTTCTTCCTCCTCGTCTCCCCTCTCGCTCGCTCCCTCTCTAGATATATATTTATATACATAGCCCCAGAGCCAATAGCTCTCTGGGCTGAAACCTAATATCCTGGTTTTGGCAACTCCTGGTTGTTAATTTGCTCCTCTTTCTTTTCTGTCTGTCTGGAGATAGATTTCCCCCCTCTCTTTTCCCTCCCCGAAGGAAGGGAGGAAGGAGGTTGTGTGTTTTTTTTTTCCTTGAAATTTTTATCACAAAATTATAATACACTCAAAGGGAAACTCACCGTCATGAAAAAGCAGTGCCTTGTCAACGGGGTTTCTTCGCCATCACATCAGGGGCTGGCAGTGTAAGAGAGAGAGAGGGAGAGCGAGAGAGCGAGGAAGGGAGGGGGGAAGAGAGAGAGCGAGCGAGAGAGCGAGAGCGGGCGCGGGGAACGCGGAGAGCGCGGAGCGGAGCCCGAGCCCGAGCCGGGGCCGCCGCTCCGCGAGAGCAGCGCCACCGGCACCGGCCCCGCACGCAGCTGCGGCTGCTGCTGCCGCCGCCGCGCCGGCATCGCCGGCCCGCTCCTCGCCCTGGCATTTTGGAAGGAAAGACAGGCCCTTTAAAAAAAACTTGGGGATTTTTTTTTTTTCCTTGGGAAAACTGCGGAGCTGGCCGCCCCTGCGCGCCCGCGCTGTTTACTTTCGGTTAAAACTTGGGGGATGTTTTTGGGCTGGAAGGGAAGCCAAAAAAACAGACCGCTCTTCTCCACTATTCAAAAAAAAAAAAAAAAAAAAAAAAAAAAAAAAAAAAAAAAAGCTGGGTTAATTTCCCTCGGATTAAAGCTGCAAACCAGAGTTTTTGTTTTGTCCCCCCCTTTTTTTGTGTGTGGGAGGGGTTAAGGGGTAAGCAGGAGTCCCCAGAAATACACATAATGCAAGGTCACCTTGAGAAAGATGAAATGTCACCCTTTTAGAATGTAGGTGACTCCAAATATACTGTAGCTTTTTTTTTTTTTTTTTTTTTTTTTGGTCAGTTTTGGTTAAAAAAAAAAGAACCCTTAAATTCCAGAGACAGCTGCACTAAAGAAGAAAAAAAAGTAGCCTAAAAATGCTGGATTTGACTCAAAGCTTACAGCACTCAAAGTTCACAGATACAATTCTACAATTTTGCTTAAAAGTATTAATGTTATCCTATAGAAGCTTTTTTATTATTATACAAAATTAATTCAACTTAAAATGTTCACTATATTCTTCCATTAAAAAATATATATTTTTTGTTCAGATCTTACAGGCCTAACTTGTATAAAATAAAAAATATTTTGATTGAAAGCAGATTCTTTGCATGAAGAGTTATGTATGCTAATGAGTTTAAAACAAGAAATCTGAAGACTCTTTGTTAATAATTGTAATTCCCAAGGACTTGCACAGCTGCCTTTTTTTTCCCTTAAAAATTAATTTTATTAAACTCCTTAGAGACAAGGATTTGAAGACTTTATTTAGCAACATATTCCTCTTTATTAGCTGTACATCTCAAAAACCACTAAGTTTTTGGTTTTGCATACAAAGGCATGAAAACAGCTTATGGGCAGTGTAGAAAGTGGAACTTCTCCATGAAACAGTTGGCCTGATTTTTATGAAAAAAGTCAGTACCTAAATATTGGTCCTAATGACAATCTAGTTAGGTTATTTTCTAATTAATAAAACTATTTCATGCTCCAACATGGATCATAAAGGTTAACCCTGGTGCCAGACTGGTGCTAAATGCAGCTCATCTGTCACTTGTCTTTCCGTGCACATCCACGGTACCAAATTCAGGTGGAGTTTCCGACTGCTCCTGGAGCAGCCAAGTCCTACCCTAGCCAAGAGCCCCCAGGATGATCCTGCGGGATCCTGCGCGCATCCTGCCCCATCGAACACGGGCATGGCACCACCAGGACACGAATGTCATATTTTACCAGTGCAAGATGGCCTTGAGCAGCCAGCACTACTGACACAAGCCCTGCACGTCAAGGGCTCAGCACCCGACCTGGCCGCGCTTCGCAGCGCACGCTCCCGACACCAGCGCGAGCGAATCAGAGCGGCCAAAGAGCGACGATCCCGACTCCAGCACCTGCTCCGGGGGCCAAATGCTACCCGAATCTCTCCACAGCGCTGACTTCAGACTTGGCCCAAGCCCCAAGTTCTGAGCTGGAGAGACCCCCTGCCCTTCTCCGGCTCTGGCTGCCAGGAAGGACCCAGCTACGAGGCGGAATGGCTCAGCGTCACCCTCCCACTCCTGCGCAAACCACAAGTAGGAAATAGGCAATGCAGAGATGGAGCGGTAGGAAGGCGGCAAATGACTCTGAATCGATTCCCTGATCACAAGCAACACCAGAAAACGTACATAAATTATCAGATCATACCATAGCTGACACTTACTTTCCCTGAAGGATGTCTCAAAGCAGTGCTAGTAATAACCTCGATAAACAGAGACAGTAACAAACCGGAAGCAGAAATAAAGCCTACACCGTGAGGCACCCTGAAACTACTACAATTTCTCAGTCTACACAAGGCGGTGAGTTTAAGGATGAAAACCCTTTACTTGGTCACCGAGTGAACAAAACCACAACCCACTATGGCCCTCCACTCCCTCTGCAGAAGCCGATTTGCGTAATTTCTATATTTACTTCTGTTCAAAAACAAGTGTGGCTCAGGTACAAAGAGTCAATAAAAAAAAATGAAGAGTTGGGTATGACTTTATGGATCAGATTGAAGTATGTACTTAATGTTACATCTTACACTAAGAACTTGAATTATTTTTTTCAGTATAGTGTCATCTGTACTGATGTACTACAGAGTTTTCCAAACCGTGTTTGTAAAGAAAAGCTGTTGCCTTTGGTCTTTAAGTATTTATGCTGTTTTAAGAGGATCATATGGCGTTTCCGAGCTGAGAATCATTGCCCAAGAGCTCCCCCTCTTCTCACTGCCTTCCTGCCCTAGAGAGGAAGGCTTGAGGTGTCCAAGCTCTTCTGCTCCACCACCCCCCTGCCCAGAGCAGTCCCACTGAACCAAATCTTACTCTTCATATTTGATGCAGCAGAGAAATTCAGCATTTTACAAATGTAATAACTGCTGCTCTCCTAGACGTGCAAAGATACCAGCTGACATTTGGAGTCAACTGAGACACGCAGCCTTGCAATGACAGAGTGTGCAGAAGTGAGAATCAGGCACAGATATCAAGAGGAAGAACTTGAGGGGATACAAAGGTCTCAGGTTTCTCCTTGGCCAAGGGTTTATTCTGCCCACTTCTGCTCTTCACATTACCTTCATTTCCATTCTTGTACCACCACAAGTCAGCCACTCCAAAGGCAGAGCAAGAAGCAGCAGACTCTTGCCTGAGTAACCCCCTAGTGCCTCCAGCTCACAGCCCCCTTTCTGAGATGCATGAGATGGGAGCAAACGCCACCTGCTCCACTGCAGCCCTGCTCCCTCGGGCTGCCCCCGAATCCCCGCTGCTCAGCGCAGGGCTGCCGCTCCCTCCGCCTGCCCTTCTTCGCCTCCCCATCCCTCAGCATGTTTCTGTAGCAGCTCAGCCCCAGACCCACCGTTTCCCCAGCTATGTATCTCTTTTAATATTTAGTAGCACAATTTATGTGCACAAATGCACAGAAACAAGTAGGTTATCGTTAAAAAGTGCAAACAATAGAAAAGTAGAAGTCACAATGTTGTTCAAAAGTATAGCAGCACGAAGGGAAGCAAGGGCTTTAACTTGGAATAGGAATGGAACATATGACCAGCAAAAGTCAGTTTTCCAATAACCATAGGGATTCTCATCAATGCCTTACTCGCACAGCACATACCTGCAAAACCAGGTTCCTAACTGCATAAATTATGAATCATTGCTACATTGCAAAAACTGTATGACTGCAATATTATTCATATCAAACACATGAATATCTAACCAGTAAGTATCTTAAAGCTTGACTGGTTAGGATCCAGGTAGCAAGGAGAAGTAACCAAGGCTGAACCTCCATAAAAGAGTTTCACAGCAATACCATAAAAAGCCAAGTCTCCATGTGGCTTTTAATGAATCTGAAGAGCAGATCCTAGAGAACTAAGTTTCTTCAAGACCCAAATTCTGCCAGACTGTCAGCAGAAACAGAAAAATATGGTGACTGGACCTCACATTGAAACAAATGATATTGCAAAATTATTACTGGAACACATGAAGGGTAACTATCCCTTGCCTTAGGTACAACATTTCAGTGGACTCAGATTCTTTAAGGTACCTTAGTGCCTTGAAGAGGAGAATGAGGCATCAGTAGCTTTCCCTAATAAGTTAGGGGAATACTTCTAAGAGATTCAGCCACTGGGATGCATTGACAAGAAAACAACTCTCGAGAGAAAACTTTATACTACAGTATCTCAAAAAAACCCACCTCAATCTTCACAACTAACACTGCCAACATTTATAGATGAAATTTAAATCTCAGCATGAGGGTAGAAAATTTGGAGAATTTCCCATGGCTTGTTTAGCAAAGGCACCTAGGGAAAAAAAAAAAGAAGAAAAAAAAAATTCAATAAGAATATACTGATAGTTAAAGGTATATTGATGAGTGGCTGGACACAAGCTGGAGTAAAACAAGCCAGAATACAACAGAAGATTCATGTTCAGGAGATTCAGTTCACTTCCATACAACAGAAGTATTCATGTTCAGGAAAGAAGGAAAAGGAAGAAATATAAACACATTAAGTGACCACTGCACATGTACATGGCAAAATAAGAGAAAAGGTTTTATAAATAAAGACACAACTTTGGAGAAGAATGGTTAAGGAAGGTGTCACTTGCTTGGAGCCTTCTAGAAAGTACCTGTGCAAGATTTCTATATGAATAAAGGCTGCTGTAATGCAAGTCTTACTACTATGAGTAGGAAGTGTTGCATAGTTTCTATGCAACAGAAATAATTTTCCCAGATTTAGAGTGAAGAGCAAATGCAAATAATAGGAAGAATCAGTCTCCTTAGATATGATATGATAGCCTACAGCCTACATCTGAAAGTTAAAGGCTCTGGAAGGAAAAAAAATGGGGAGGAACTCCAGAACTGAGAAAACATCTACCTCAAAAGGATATGCAGAATACGCAGAGTCCGTAAGACAGGATCTGTGGCTTACACGCTCAGACTCTGAAACTTAACTCCTAACAAATAGCAAGTTAGAATCCTAAACTCCAATTAGAAGCTAGGTCTGGACTAAACCTATATGCTCTTTAAGGCTTAACCTTGTGTGTTCAGTGTACCTGGGCCTTGCTTCATTAATCTTGGAGTGTGTCTTGTCATAAAATGCTATGCTTTGAAGTCACTTCTTGTCTTTTTTGAGAATTAATTTCCGTATAAATTAGTGTTTCTCCACCTCTGGCATTAGGAACACCTTGTTCTCAGAAGAGACCGGCACTGACTCGTTTGCAAACAAGTGCACCTCGACTGGCTGGTATATAATTAGGATTTTAAGCATTCCCAAGGATTACATTTCAAAGCTTTCGCATTACTCACAGCAATTAAGATGCAGCAAGTAAGTTTTATAGCTGTTGCTCTAACTCTCTAATTAGTGTTCTCAAAAACACACATATTTTACATTGTCTTGCCTTTCCATATGGCCAAATATATGCAGAAGATCATTTCCATCCAAACAGAATCTGTTTTGGAAAACAATGTCAACCATAATGTTCAAGGAATTTGTTAATGTTTTTCAAAAGCAGAACACAAAGATAAAAAGCCCTGACAATCATTTTACTGAAGCATGTTCCACCATGCAAAATGTACAGCATCTTAAAGGCAGGGATAATACAGCTTGTATCTCACTTAATGCTACATCAAAGAGCCCTTGCCCAACTTGACAGCAGGATACCATGGATTGCAAGGCACTGAGATACCAGCTCTGGGGCCAGAAGCAATTCTGTGCCTGCCAATGTCATGTGGAGGGGCTCAATCCAACCAGCGTTTGGAGAGCATCATCTAGCCTCCAAGCAAGACACGGCAGCTGCTGCTTTTCCTGAAAGCACAGCTAGAAGAGCAAAAAGCACTTCCTGTGCTATGATGCACACAATAACACACAACGTGCACGTATCACCCTTCGAAGTAAAGCCACGTCAGTGCGGGAGTACATAACCTACGATGAGGAACAGGGGCAGCTACTTCTTTGCTCAGCTTCATCATCAGAAGATTGTGCCACAGCTACCAAGCCCCTAACCTTCACAAACCAGGGAACCAGCATATATCCTTCTCAGAGTTGAAAATCTGTTATGTGCAGCTGGACCCTCAGCTGCTTCTGTGGATGGCACTTTTATATATACCCCACTCTTCAAAAAATAAAAATGATTGAATGAGACAGGATCTTGAAGCTGACCTATGCAACACAGCATTTCGCTTCAAAGGCCATGAGTTAATACTGTCTGAGTTAGTTTAAATCTAGGTACTATTTTCAGGCAGATAGTATTCAAGATCTACAACCATGTGGTTGAAGGTCTTTTTCCAGCTGAAATTTCAGCTGGAATCCAGCAATTATCACCTTTTCCAGCTGAAAGTTGGAAGCACAGTATTGTAGCAAATGTTTCCAAGGCCCATAAGGAAAACTGCAACTTCACATAAGGCAAAGGACATCGTGTAGTCCAAGCGACAGCAGAAGGTCTGACTGGAAGGGTCAGCAATCTCTCTGCTTTGAGAGCAGAGAGGAACTTAAGCACTTCTAGGAAAAAAAAAAAAAAAAAGGAAAAAATATATTGCACAACTATGTGCTTTGCTTTTGTCCCACATTCTCCAACAACTAACCTGCTTCCTGCAAATTGCCAGCAGAATCCAAAGCAGAGCTACAAGCTTTACTTTTTATTCAGGTGGTTCCCACTTGGGAAACCATAAACTCGCTTTTTTCTACTACATATATTGGAGCACATTAAGCAGCCTTAAACATAAATGTTGCTGCCAGCAGCATTAGGAAGAAAACTGTCAGGTTTTGTATTACCATCAAACATATATAATATAATATATATATACACCACTATCAATTACACCAGAGCCTCAAATTATAAGTGTGGATAAGCGAGCTTGGAACATCAAGTTGCTAAGGCTGAAAAAATTTTACTGCTTCCTTTTCAAATTTTCATTATGGTCATACACTTGGCGTTCTTGTATCTGGAGTTCTTTTGCTTGTAACCATAAAGTCATTTTTATGTATTAGTAATATGATTCACTCTCTCCCAGCAGCTCATATTCACAAGTGTATTTCGGCCTCATTAATTTAAATCTCCAATCACTTCTAGAAAAACCAAGCTACTATAATACCTAGCTGAGTGACCCAGTGTAGCACGAGGAATCATTATATAGTAGCTTAAAATATAGACTTACATTTAATTTGACCAGAGTAGCATTTGCCTGTAATCTTTTCAAATACAGTGGGAAAGACTGCAGTTCACCTGCCTGTTCACATTCAAGACTAACAAAGTGATACTAACAAAAGCTCCAGCTGAGCATCTGGATTTGCAGATGCTGAAGACAACTGAAGACCATTTTTGTGTGAATATACTTGTATGTGTGCATTAAACTCTGTTACTATCTGTATTACCTACACCAGTGGGACGACAAGACAAAAAAAAGGGTGCCAATTAAAATGAAATAGATCAATTCTAATAAACTGTATGGAATTGTTTCATACATTGCTGTTAAAAAAAAATCTGAAACTATTCTCTTTTCCTGGAACTATTCTCTTTTCCGTTCTCCTTCTCATGATGGAGCATTCCCCTTTTCCAGAGAACAGAACTTTCCTTTTGACAACCCCAAATCTCATCCCTCGGAAGCAAAGCCCCAAACACACTAACTGGCCAGTGTTGGTTCAGCCAAGTGCTGTAACGCACTGAACGCCACCTCACCCACCCATGGGGCAACCCAAGCACCTCTATCGTGCTGCGATTCAAGCACCAAAGGGCGGCGCATCCCTGTGCCCATGACCTTGCCAGGCTGCCCTTGGGAGCACGCAGGGTGCTTTACCAGCCCACTGCAACGCTCCGCTCTCACCCAACAACCCCTTCACACCCCTTGATTTTGCATTTTAACAGTGACGAAGAACTATTATCTCTATTTTGTGCATGTCCTTCATGCGTTACGAAGACACGGAGGTATTGTGCTGCCTTTCTCCTCTGCCATCCTAACTGGGCTGGCTTTGTTACATGTAAAGCGTAAGTACTCCCTATCATCTAATGATATTGTATCGCATCTGACATTGAAATTAAGCCCTGCGTCCCTCAAGGGACCCAAAAAAAAAAAAAAAAAAAAAAAAAGAGCCTGAGAAAGGGCAGATTAAATGTTGGTCCTGACTGTAAGTGATTGAACAAGCAACTTTCAAACAGGCAATTCGCTACATTTGCCAAAAAAGAAATGCATGCCACCACCAAATACATGAGAGCAAATTTACAGCAATTTCTGTGGTTCCCCACATTTCCAGTTGGCTGGGGAGTTGTAGGAGTTACTTCGGGTAATTCAGAAACATCCAGGGAAGGGAGGTATTTGCAGAACCGCAGAGCGGCTCCATTTATTGTCGTGTGTTTTCAGAGGTGCTGTGTGCCAACTTCCTTGAACAGAAATTAACCCCCTGCGAGGTTGGGGCACGGCAGTTCCCAAAAGGCTCCGTCCACGCAGGGGCCCCTCTCCTACCCCGCCGCCACAGAGCTCACAGAGGTGTCGGGCAGAGGCCTCCCCGGCCGCAGCTCTCTGCCTACGCGCGGGCCTCCTCCTAGGCTCCGCTCTCACGCTTTCCCTCAGCAGAGCAATCCTCCCAGACAAAACCACCGCGAGATCAGAAACGAAAGGGGAAAAACGAACAGGAAAGGGGCCGATGCGGCAGCGCCTTGGCGGGCACCGAGAGCCACCCCCGCAGACCGCTTTATTGCCCAGGACGAGGCGGGAGCGAGGGCGGCTCCATGTCCCCCGCGGACACCTGCAGCGCTGCCCCCGGCAGAAGCCGCCCGGCGGCCGCGCACCCGGCCCGGGAGGCTCCGCGGGCGGCACCGCGGCCCGGCTCTGGGGGGGAC